AGTACCGAGCGGCCTTCCCACTCCCCGGATTCGCCGGGCAGCGTGCGCCGCGACTCGGACGCCAGCCTCGCTTATGCTTTCTCGGGCATGGCCGTCAACAATGATGGCTACGACCCGGCCGGCTATGCCCAAGGTCCGTTTGCCAACCCTCGCCCTCATCAACGTGACTAGTGTTTGGCTTGGACATGTCGATGTTTTTGTTCGTTTCTTTCTTGGTGAAAAAACTAGTTTTATTCCGTCCACCGACTCCAGCTGGGAGTTGGTTGCGCAGGACGAGAAGAAATGAGAACTGAGTGATTAGCACAAGCTTAGAGGAACTAGACCTAACCCTAAGGACGGAATAAACGTGTGCAGCCGCTTCCCCACCGCCTCCACGTTCGATTTGAGCCGGACGGAGGGTTATGGTGGTTTTCTAAACGTAGGCGCGACGACCAAGTGGTTGGCCGACAGCATTCAGCCGGTTGCAGCGTCGCTCTCGAGCCTCTCGGAGGCGGCGGCGTCACTGTCGAACGACGGACTGCATCACGTGCCGCACCACGTGTCGATTCGGAGCCTCGTCGACACGCTGGATCTTGGCAGCTTGGTTCGCCAGTACCTCGAGACGACGGCGACGTCGGTCTTTACAAGGACGCTTGGAGCTGTGTCGCCACCGCGACTCATTGTTTAGTCTCGCATACACGGTACAAATACACAGTAGCACGCAGCACAGTGGACTTATGTGCACAGAAAGATACCGGTACAGCGACTTTATGAGATCAGGCCTTTGCAAGCACGCATGCGCGACGCGGACCCGACGCGCCACGGCTATGTACTGTGCGTAAAAATGATAGGGCGCGAGGGCCCGGCCCCATGAGTGGTTGTGATTACTCATCTGGATGGATTTCAGACCCAGCTTCCTCCCGCAACGGCCCAAACGTTGCCGCGGCCACGGTCCAGTCCTTGATCTGGTGAGTAACTCGCTGTCTAGACGCGCATGCGCCACGACACTGGAAGCCGCCACGAGACGCTTGTGTCGGCTCGACCAGACAAGCAAGCGGTTGACGTCATCGCTTTCAGGGTCGTGTAAAAAGGGCAACTATGGTTCGTGGCAGTTGGACCGAGCTGTTGACGGGCTCGGCTCGCGAAGGATGCAGAGGTGCACCGCACCCAGATCGTCTCCAGATAGAGCCGTGGTCGACTCCCGCCAAAAACAGACCGGGCCCAGCCCCCTCCAGTCCTGCATTCCGTTGGCCTGCGAATTTCCTTTGAACGAGTCGTCTGGTCGCCGACCAGGCATGCAAGGTAGCATGCTTGGGAGGCAAGCATGTGTACGTAAGCGGTAATCCTTGCGGCTGCTTGGTTGTTGCAAGCAAGGCGCGGGACCAGATGCATGACATCAACATTGCCTTCTCGACATCGTCAGCGATTTGGTGCGCTTTCTCCAAAACGCATGCGCCTTTTCCCTATCTGGGGTGCTGTACTCCGGAAAAAGGTGCCCTTTATTTCTCGGGCCCACCGCGCATCTGGCTTGTTGATGTTGCACTTTGTGCGATGGGGCACGCTGGGACTTCTGTTTTTGCCATGACCTTGCCGCTGCCACCCGACCACTTTCGCTGCCCACCGCTCGACGAGTGCGACCGCGAGTACTTTGTGAACCTCGCCAACAAGGCGGCGTTCGACTGCGTCCGCAATGCCATGTCGCTCCAGGCGACGCCAGTGGTCTCGGTCTTCAAGAGCGACGTCACCCAGCGCTTTGCTCGCGTATGCCTCATCCATCCTTCCCTCTTCATCCTATGTATGTTATCAATGTAGATGCGCGAAGGGCCCGACTCGGTCCAGCCGCACCTGCCCGCGACGGTCGCCAACACGCAGATCCACGCGACGATCGAGCAGGTCGCCGACTTCTTCTACCTCGACACACTGCCCAAGGCTCGGACGTACGCCAAGACTGTGGGCCAAATCGTGCTCGACCGACAAACGCTGTATACGCTCGAGGCGCGTGACACGTCTGTGTCCCTTCGCTACGTCGGCATCGACTGGCTCGTCATCCAGTGCCCGTACATTGCCGTCTCGAACCGCGACGCTGTCTTCGTCGAGATCCACGACGAGCTCGATTTTTACGACGAAGTCGCCAAAGTGCACCGGCGCGGCTTTGTGCGCTGCCTCCACTCGATCGAAATCGACTGCTGCCCGCCGCTCAAGGCGTCGCACGGCATCATCCGATCGGCGTTTGTTCGAGTACGCCCCCTTGAGTTTATCATCTTATTGGTCATCTTATATCCCTGGATAGAGCGGCCACATTTTCATCGAGACGGACACACCAGGTCTGCTCAACTACTACACCGTGTACGTGACGCTCGCGAATGGCAACATTCCGCGCCTCTCGGCCATGCAGCGCAGCCAGTGCAAGCGCGTATGACCCTCTACAAAGCCGCCAGAACGCTGACGCTGCGACTAGATTTTGAGCCTCGAAGAACACTTGTGCTACGACCACGTCACCACGTCGATGGACAATGGCGAGTTCGTGCCCGTGCAGCGCTACGAGTCGCAGGCAACGGCCAAGCAGTGCTCGCGCTGCACGAAGAAGCTGCATGCGCTCGTCAAGCGAAAGAACTGCGCCAAGTGCGGCCACGTACGAATTGCGTCCGGCTTCTTTTGTAACCAAGCGTAGGTCGTCTGCATGGACTGCTGCAACAAATGCAAGGTCGTGTTCCAGCTCGCACCACGCACGATCCATATGTGCCATCACTGCTTCTGCCGCGGCCTCGACATGAAGCCGTTGCCGCAGTCGCCAGGTACCCTCGTCCAGCCATCGATAGATTATCGATGAATATCTGTCCACTAGCCGAGTGCGGCGCGACGCTGCACTTTAGCCGCAGGCACGTGGCCATGGCCCGCTACGTAAAGGAGCTAACAGCGAGTCAGAGCGCCCTCCCCACCGCGCAAGTCGTCGATCTCGCGCGCGGGCTCGCTGACATGAAGCTGGCGTCCTTGCCGACAACGACCCACATCATGGACGAGGACGCGTTCGATCGGTTGTACATGTAGTATTCTTGTAACACTGTGCGTGTGTGTGGTTAATATGTGTCGTTAAAGTTATACCACGAGCTCGTCTTCGAGGTAACTATACTCGAACGTAAACTCGGTCTTGATGCGTTGGCACCACCCGGTTTCATAGTCGAGGTACACGAACGTGCCTTGCTCAAAGTCCTCGCCCGTCATCTGCGGCTCTTCGTGGCGCTTGAACCACGTCTTGTACTTCTTGTGGTAGCCCCACGCTTGGCGTTTGAGCTCGCGCGCCGCCAGGTACTGCTGGTACGTGCCTTGTTGGTAGTAAAAGATGAAGAAGAGCGTGTCGAGGTCGAACTTCTCAAAGACCGCGGGATTTTCAAAGAGCGGCGCCGGTGCACTCGGGAAGGACGGCGGCGTCGGGTACATGTTGCGCGGCACGTACCGGTTGCCCTTCTCCGAGTCGATGCTGTCGGGCATGAGCTTGAAGCTCTCGTCGATGAGCCGCAGCAGCTGGCGGCGCTCTTCCGACATGACGTACGGTGCAGGCGCCGGGGCAGGTACGGCCGGCGGCGGCGACTGCACCGGCGGCGGCGACGCCTTGGGCGTGCCAATCGGCTTGCGCGCCGCGGGCACCGTATCCGTCTCGACCGTCATGCCAAACGAACCCGACGCAACGGCTGCACCGTACCCGATCGGGCGCGCCGGCGAGTCCATCTTGCTCATCGCGGGCGGCGGACGCATGGCGGCAGGTGGCGCAGCCACCGGCGTCGGCTTGGCCGGCGACTCGTACGAGCGGTCAGGTGTCGCCACCTTGGGCGGAAGGTCACGTGCCACGCGTGCCGGGGCCGCGGGTGTCGAAGGCGCTGGCGGCGGCGACGCATTCACGACCACGGCCGGGCTCGTCTTGAGCTCGATGGGCTTGACGGCGCCAGGACGACCAATGCTCGTGATCGGAGGAGCCGGTGCCTTCTTCGCGCTGGACGGAGCAGAGGCACGACCCGAGGTCGAGCGCGACGCTGGCGTCGTCGGGACAGGCACCTCTTCGTCCGACGGCTCCGAATCGGCGTCGCCACCACCGGCGTTGAACTGGATGCTCGAGAGCGAGTCGAGGTCGAGGATTTCGTAAATGTCGTCGTCGCCGTACGTGTCCATAAAGTCGGGCTCCTGGTTCGCTTCGAGGTAGTAGTCAATGTCGTCCTTGAGCGCGTCGACCGAGACGGGGTCAATAGCGTCGTTGTCGAGGAGGCGCGCGACTTGCTCGAGCTTGAGCACGTGCCACTTGTGGCGGGCGATGATGAGCTCGAGGTTCTCGACTTCCTGCTTGTTCTTCTTGCCCTTGGCGCTGCGGATGCGCTCGAGGTCGCAGTCCATCGTCTCGATCTGCTCGTTGAACTGCGTGATGCCCTCTTGGATCCACACGCGCGTGTTCTGCTTCGCTTGCTCGGCGGGGTCGAGCCGCTCGGCCTGCGCGAGGCCCTCCTTCGAGTACGCCTTGGTCTTGGTCTCCTTCTCGCAGACCTTGAACTCCTCCATCTTGGACTCGATCAGCCTTCGCGCATCCATGAGCGGCCGCTTGTCCTTGACGTCCGAGTTGCCGATCCATGTCTTGATCTGGTCGCGGAAGCGCTGGAGCTTCTTGATCTCCTTCTTCAGGTCGGCCTCATGCTTCTCCTTCTGGCTCTGGCCCGCGGCCGAGTAGACCTTCTCCCAGATCGCGTTGAAGACCTCGACGCCCTCGCCGACCTTCTTGAGCGTCCGCTCGATCTCGCTCAGGAGCTTCCGCTGCCCTGCCATCGTCTTCTTTGTGGGTGGGGGCGCACCTTACAATTCTATACTTTGGGTTGTGATACCCTGTCGCTTTCGATACTTAGAACCGCCGCCACGGCAAACCTCTTTAAATGAATATTATGAGCTGCCCCTTTAGCACCGCCAGCAACTCGCTCGTCGTAGCCGAGGTAAACAAGAAGCAATAGTCAGTGCATCCAAGGTATGTGCGATCGGTCGGCGGTGTAGCGAGGCAAGCTACCGAGTACAATCGACCTCACCAATCGGCCAAGTTTGATGGCGCCAACCATGCAGCAGCTCGTCTCGTGGGCCAACGAAGAGCATCGTCGCCGGTCGCTGCGATCCAAAGACACGCACAACACGCCATCCAACACTACTTCGGGTGCTGGTATCGCAACGCTCCGAGAAGAGCCAACGGTGGCTTTCTATCTTTGGCGCCAAGCCCTAAACCCTTTGGGACTGAAACATGCGTGTCTCGGCCACAGCGAAAATAAGGCGATGACGGAGGAGCACGACAAGGACAGCAAGAGCGAGCATGCACCGATGCATGACGGTGCTCTGGACGCGAACGAGCCGCCCAACCTCCCGCTCCAACCGACGCCGTTCGTGGAGCACCTGCTGCCGCATGAGGTGCTGCATATCGAATGGACCGACGACGACCTACTACGTGGGCCATCGGATATCGCGGAGGACGAAGCTCGACATATCACACACGCGACACAAGCTCTCGTCCTCCAACCTCGTTTCGGCAACGACGCAGGCCACCGGAACGCTGGTCTCGAGCACCGTCACAGTCGCGGCCCGTCGTTGCGCCTTGCGAACAGGGAGCTTTCGTCATTGAACCATTTGCATGGCGGTGTTTCTGCCGTCTTCATGCTTGCCGCCGTCGCTCTGGTTGCCCTATTCACGCTCAAGGTGGTTCTGCACCGCCGCCGACGCTTCCAGCAGTACCAGTCCATCGATTGACGTTTATTGATACTACTACATTTTGATCCTACTAGTACAGTGTTCCGTCTCGTTAATCACAAAGCAATATACGCTGAGAGGAATGTGAGCGTCTCTGTCTTAGCGTCTTTGTCTTGTGGAAGTGCGAGAACGTGGCCTTTCTGAATATAGCCTGTCAACGGCCAACGGCAGCCACGTTGGAGACGCATCGCGTACTATTGAGCTTCGTTCATGGCTACGCTGTCGGACGCCAGCAACTCTACCAGAGAGATCCGCCCACCGCGACTCCGCGCTGCCGTCTTCCGCGCCAATTGGACTGACAGCGAATTGCGGGGTGAGAACCTAGGCCCCGACAGAGACTATGACAACTTGGCGCCAGCGCACCGACCGTGGAACAAGCGGCGCGTCGAAGAGTGGGAGCGGTCGGCGATTTCGCGCGAGCACCGCGACTGGGACGAGGAGCGCAGGGCGTACAGCCGATTGCAGCCGATTGCAGGCAGAATGAATGGCATTGACGGGGGGCAGGTCGAGTACAACTCGGACGACGCTCTCTACTCGGCCATGTTTCTCTTTCTCGTCGCAGTCGTCATGATCAAGTTTGTGTGTGGCTCACCCGACTACCCGCCGTCTCGACGGTACCGCTACGAGTACAACGAGGTTGAATGAAGCCGCACTTCAACTTCTTCAACTTCACTTTGAAGTGACACTATTTCAACGTAGTAATATAGTGTGCATTCTTGAAGCGAGGTACCAGGTAATACCTGTGACCAAAGCCAGCGAGAAGAATACATACGCGCCCAATTTGTATTGGCTCCTCATCTGCATGCGCCTTTGAGAGCAAGAGGGCATCAAGCAGAGACATACAACTTGTTTTGCTCGTGTGCACCCGCATGAATACTGTGAAATAGTGTGTGCTGGCGCCATATCTTTCGGAAATAGAATATGAAGTCGGACGAATCAGCTCCTGTTACTATCTCGCCCAGTCCGAGGCCGCGAGACAGCCAGCAGAGGCGACGGGAAGCAGGTGACGAGGATGGGCTGCTGCTTCACGAAGGAAGCGATCGCCGAAGGGTAGGCCAGCGCGCGCATCGCGCTGTCGACTCACCCTCTCAGCGACGTGTACAGGGACCTTGACGACCGCGAGCCATCAATCGGGACCAAGCGCGACATGGCCGCGGCCGCGGCCGAGCGCCGCAACCAGGACTTCAAGCAAGGCGGTGGCGGCAACACAGCCAAGACCAAGAGCATTGCCATTCGGCGCGAGAAGGACGAACTTGTTGGTAAGATTGAAGCGCTATATGGGTCGCTCGGTGAAGACGCGCCGATCGGCCTGGCGTCCTGCGACTTGGAGCAGCTCAAGGCGCACTTGGCCAAGCTCAAGCTCAAGAAGGACGCCAGGCGCAAGGTATAGAGCCATCCGAGCGAACGCAGAATGCATAAATGATAGTACGGTACACGATGCTGTCTACAGTGTGTCGTCGCCGGCCCGCCGCAGTTCGACGCGGAGGGCATATGCGACCTCCATCGCTGTCGGCCGCACCGTTGGGTCGGGATCCATGCACGAGACACCGAGTGCGCGAAACCAGCTCGGACAAGCGTCGCGGAAGGACGGCCGCAGCTCGCCGGCCATGACCTTGGCCATGATCACACTCTCCGTGAGCGGGTTGCCCGCCAGCGTGCACTTGTCCGCGTACGGCAGCTACCAGAGACCATTTTGCATGAGTACAGCGCAATGCATGACGACGAGAGGACGACTACCGCGTGTGTGTCGAGCTCGGTGCAGATGACGCCGAACGAGTACATGTCGGCGGCCGTCGAGTAGTGGCCGTCAATGAGGACCTCGGGCGCCATCCAGCGGTACGTGCCAACGCCGGTTGTCATCGTCTCGTCGTCCCATTGCTCGCGCGAGATGCCAAAGTCAGTGAGCTTAGCACCTTTGACCGAGTCCAAGAGAATGTTGCGGGACTTGAGGTCACGGTGGACAACCTTGGGGTCGAGGAGGTGCAGGTAGACGAGTGCGTCCGCAATCGCCACGGCGACCGAGAGCTTCTCCACCCACGGGTACGCGTCCACCGCCGTCGCCATGAGCGCGGTCCGGAGGTCGCCGCGGTCCATAAACTCAGTAATGAGTTGGATGTCAGCGAGGCGCTTGTAGCTGACACCAATGAAGCGAACAATGTGGTCGCAGTCCATCCTACATGCCACGGAAATTAGACCACGGCGATATGCAAAGTGACGGCGCACTTGGCAACGAGCTGGATCTCGGCCAAGAAGGCGTGGACCGTCGCAGTGGTCGTCTTGAGAAGCGTCTTGATCGCGACGGGCTCGTCCATGTACGTGCCATACCACACTTCACCAAAGGCACCTTCGGCTAGCTTGCGCTCGAGCGTCACTTCGCGCGTATCGAGGCGCCAGAGCTGCAGCGCGTCCAGAGCATCCACGTCATCTGGCGACGATGCATGCGTGTCCTTGGTGGAGCTCGTCTTTGCCGGCGTCGCCTCCAGCAGATGAAACGCGTCGCCAGCGGCTTGCGGTCGTTGTTGCAAGCGGAGACGGTACACGACGTAGGCGCCAATGAGGGCCACTGCGACGGCGCAGCCGACAATCGCGAGCCACAAGCTGTTGTTGGATGCGTCTGTCGTCGTCTGGTTTTGGAAGCTGACTTGCGGTGTGGCCGAGGCGGACGCACTGGTGACGCCTGGTACGGCGGCGGTGGCAGCCGACGGCGGCGTTGTAAACGTCGGCGTCGGGAATGCATTTGTGCAGTTCATGGTCGATATCGGCACCTTGGAATCTGTGCTCGTGTCGAGAAAGAGGCACGAGTAGGGCGTGCTCGCCTTGGCGGCGTTGACCATCCACGCGTTCAGCACCGTGAAGAGGCCGTAGCAGGACGTGTTGCTGCAGTAGCCGTCGCGCTTGGTGCGATCGACCTTGAAGGCGTAGATGTCGGTGAGCGCTGGACACGGATGGAAGTAGTTGCTCGGGTCGCTAAAGTCCTTCTCGTACTCGGCCATGGTCAGCGCACAGAGGTCGACCGTCGCCGCCATCGTTTCGATGTGCAATCTTGGGCGGGCACCAACTGTTTAAAACCGCATCGAATGTTTGCTTTCTTCCATACTACGCATACATTCTGCCAATGTCATAGGTGGTTTTAAACAGCAAGCCAGAGCCATCTGAAATGCTGGAGGGTGATGGGCGGCACGCCGCCTCTGCCAAGATCGATTCCCGCGCAAATCCAAAGCTGAAACCACCGATCTCATTTGCCATTTGACACGAAGATGACGCAGTACTACTGGACCGGCGTTGTCAGTGGCGCGCGTGGACAGCGGGGCGTCGCAGGTGGCTTTGCTTACATTCGAGGTACCACGGAAAGGGCCACGAACTACACCCGTCGACGGCGTCATCGACTCCTCGCCCCGCATCGCGATGCAGGCCATGCGCGTGCTGTAGCAGTTTACAACCGTCGGATTCGTCAAGAGCGTCGTATCCAGTCCAGATGACGCCGGCGTTTCGACCGCTCCGCGTCAACATTGCGCCGAGTCTGTTGGCGCAGGCACTTGTATCGCGCCTCGAGTGGACAACGGCGACAAAGAGTAGCGCCTGGTCTGCGGCGTGACCTTCAAGATATCCGAATCCGACTCTCTGCGAATCGCAGCCGCCATGGGCGCGCGGCTCCACAAAAAGAAGCCCGAGAAAGAGGCACGCACGCCCAAGCTTCAAAGTAGCCAATGGCCTCGGAGCGCGAACGGTGCTTCTTTGCAACCTTTTCATCGCCCACATGATTCTCGCCCAATCAAGTACAACCATGCTCGCCTTGCAAGCACCGCTTGGATGGTTCACAAAATTGCGTCGATGCTACGAAACATTTCACAGCAAGCACCGATTAGAATCCAGCGCGACGGTGTTCTCAAGTCGCCTTTCCTCGACCCAATATCATGGGACGGGCCGGCAACGATGCACGTTGAAACCGGATTGTAAGGAGGTAGGTTCTATACGAGGGCTTGGCGTTGGCGCTGCGCAATAGGTGCGCGCAACGACAATAGGTGCAGTGATGGTCGTCGGCTGCAAGATACTTTTTCTCTGCATTTTACCCAATCCGCAAAAAGCATGCAATTCACCAATCAAACGCGTGGGTACTCTTGAATTGGACCAATCGCTGCCGTTACAGAGTTGCACTTGCATTCTTGGTTCAACGATTTCAGTTTGCATTTGCCAGCGACAAGCACAACACAAGACGACGCGATGGTCTACCGGATCGAGCAAGTGCGCTCGCTGCGGGCCAAGGTCGCCGCCGTCGCCGAGGCCGCCGACAGCATCGTCTACTACGTCATCGAAGTCGAGCATGGCACGTCAGCGTGGAGCATCGCGAAGCGCTACTCGGACTTTCACGAACTCTGGTCGGCGCTGCATGCGCATTTCGCCGCGCCGCCCGACGACGACTGCCACGCCGAGGTCGCGACCGACGTCGTCGACCTTGATTTTCCCAAGAAGAAGATGTTTCGCTCGCACGATCTCGCGCTGAGCCGCCTCGACGCGCTACGAAGCTACCTAAAGCTTCTCATCATTGCGCTCCAAGACGACCTCTGCGACGACGACACGACATGTGACGCCGCCACGCGCCTTCGCACCTTCCTCGGTGTTGACGCGCTGATGGACGACTCTAGCATGGATACCTTGCCCTTTGAGCCCACGAAGGCTCACTTTTTCTATCGCGCAGCGAGTTCGTGTGCAAGTCGCACGGACTGGTCACCATGATCTTCTCGAGTAATTTATGACGTTTTTATTCACACACGACAGTCAGCCGACTCAAGCCGTCGATCGGAGACGCCGCGGTCGCAGGCGCGCCTTGGCGACGCGGGCTTCGTCTTGCGACGGCACGCGTTCCAATTCCTAACAAGGATTGGTCTTGGATGACATTTCAGAAGCACCTTGGAGAGAAGACGATGGGCAATCTCGAGCTGCATGCGGACGGGCATCGTGTCCATGGACGAGGCATGCAAGCACTGGAGAATGAAATGAGCGTTGAAGCAACCAGGAACGGGTACGTACACTGGTGAGGATATCACACGCCGTGTGCAAGATATGGCAGTGCAGCGGCTCCTTTGCAAAGGCTTCGTCGAGAGGACTAAGGAGGCTGCGGTCATGAAGCTTGGAAGCGACGCGAGCCTGGATTTGCGCCTTCACAGCGACGCGCACGTCCAGTCGCCACGCGTCGTCGTCACGTATAACGTCCGGCATGAAGAAGTAGAAAAAGGAGAATGAAACCAACGCAGGAGGCTGCAACGCCCGCCACCGCATTCACAATCGCGACGCGGTCCCTTAACTTGTTGTCCTTCAAATGTACATAGTTGCTATTGGGACGGAATGGCGAGTACTAGTAGGAGATTTCGCTGTCCTCATGAGCTGGTATGGTAGATCTCTTCACGTTGGTATAAACAACCGAGTTGTCGCGACCGTCATCCACGTTTATGGCTTGCCATTCGTGGTGTACTAGTCACGTTCGAACCCATGTGATATTTTCCACTCGCTATCAAGACCACTTGTACATGGATTCGTCTCAAGCATGCATCTTTCTTGGTCGTCGTAGTGTGTTCAAATGCAGCAAGGGTCAATGAGCAGTGTATTGACCTTTCAATGTGTAGGTAGCTGTCGCTTGCGAGTTGGCGAATCACTCTAATCCATTCACACACCAATGCCAGTTGCTGATGGGACCTAACAAGCGCCACCGAAATAAGCCACGTGCCTTGGTGGCGGCCGCATCAGCCCCTCCGACGGTGGTCGCAAGAGAGCGCAAAAACGTCGGGGACGCCGAGCAGCAGAAGAGTGCCGTCCATGCAAAGGCAGTAAAATGACGAGGAAGAAATTGCAGTCATCGTACAGGCGACATCGTGACAGGATGACACGTGCAATGTAGCAACATTCAAATCGAGAATGCTGGCCAACCCACGTCAAGGCCAACTCTACTCTAAGGCAACAACGCAGCTTGGCACGATGTTCGAGAACGTGGGGATCCGAACACGGCTAAATACAATTGGGTAGCGTTAGGTAGAGTGCGACTATGTCTATAATTGTATAAGCAGGTCAAAGGCACTGCGGACGCAGGGAACTAAACGTTTTATGTCCCAAACTCGTTTACTCGGAAAGAATGGTTCTCGTTTCCTGGCGACATCTCATTGCCTACCGCTACTAGTGACAGTTTAAACACTGGATCACGACCAGGTAAAGCTGATCGTGAGTTTTTTCGTTCTCCAAGACCTGCCTCTTAGGCCTCGTATCGATTTCCAGTCCCAGGTCCCACGTGGATCCCCTATTGCTGCTCGTCGCTCGTGCCCACATGTACTGAGTACTAGTATACTTGGTACAGGACACAAGTCGATGTAGCACCTGCGCTGGGCCACAGGTCTAGGACGTTGCAAGAACTGTCACCGACTATGAGGTTAGCCCATTTGTCAGCTTATCCGGATGCGTCTTCGATCCATTAGACCTATCTACCAGCTCGTGTCCTCGTCTGCTGTCACTCGGTTCGACAAGGCGACACGGGCCGTGTCGCCTTGTCGAACCGAGTCCACCATGTCGAGATTATACTTGTTTCTAGTATGGTGCGTCTCCGCAATGTGTCCATCGCTCACCATGTTGGACACGTCGGTGTCACAGTGGTGAATCCACTTGGGGTCCCTTCTATGCTCCTTCAACAAGATGCGTGAACGTGCCAAAACGTTATCAACCAACACACTCATTTTCCAATTTACTCCGACAGCATCATGTTTGACAACGGCGGCGGCTTCGACTTGGTTCTCGCCACAATCGTGCTCTTTCTGGCCATGCCCATGGTCTTCTACGGCGCTGGCATTCCCATGTACTCGGCGCTCGTCTCGTGCTTCTTCTACGCATTTACCTTTGCGTGGATGTTTGGTCGCGCCGTCTCGAGCGACATCACGGTCGGCGGCGCTGTCGCCTTTACCGTCTTTGCCTCCATCGCATTGGTCACGCCGTGTCTGGCGCCGTCCTCGCGCGGTTTCTTGATTGTGGGTTTTCCCGCCTTTGCGCTGACGGCGGCCTTCAGCAGCGCGGCCTCCCCATTTCTCGTGCTGCTTGCTGCCACCGCCGTCAGTGGCGCGCTTGGTGGTTGGGGTGGCCGCCACGAGCGTGCGCAACTTCTCTCGACGGCGCTCAGTGGCGCCCTAATGATCACACTCGCGATCTCCGTCTACGTCATCGGGAAAGACACGGGCTCTAGCAGCTACTCGACAACGTACCGCTACACTACAAGAGATGGCTACACATACACGACGACGACCAACAACAAGAACGGAGGTTCAAGCTTGAGCCGAACCTTGTCGTGGGCCTCTTTTTCAGCACGTTGCTCGTCGGTCTCCTCATTCAGGCCCAGTGCACCAAGCCATCGCCGGCGGCTGCGGCCAACAACAACAACGACGCCCCGTACCAGGCTGCGTGAGCGACTTGATACGTACATTGTAGTCCGTTCTTGCATTATTGTCCCTAATCTAACTTTGCTCCTATGTACTTATATGCATGTATACCAGCAGCAAATAAGAGGAATTGTAGTGCTACAGATTGGCTTCACCAAGCAGGGACGCAAGCGAGGACTCGGTGATAGCGCGTCGTGAGGCAGCTCTTCCTCCGCCAGAGTTCTACCAGTAGTAGCATGAAGTGGCCATTGGCACCAAATACTGCATCCTATTAGCAGTACGAAGGCGATGGGCGCCTGCGTCAGGCACGGTCGTTGCTACCTCATGCATGCAG